CTCTTTTTTTTTAAATTTAATTTCTTTATATTTATAAGTTCATTTGGTAATTATGCGCTATCCCTCTTAAATATTCAACAATGTCTCTGTTATGATAGTCCCGAACAATCTTTAATATACGTTGATCAGCATCCCTGTACTTTTTTAATTTGGCTGGYGGATTGCGTCCAGCCACAAGGTGTTCATAGTAGAAGTCGCGATTTGCTTGCACTTTTCGTAAGCCGTCTATAAGCTTCCAGATTGTAGGATGATCCATACTTAATTCTGTCTGAAGGYGACGATGAGCTGCTTCAGCATGATTATTAGTTCTGTCCTGTTGATTTAAAGTTCTATTGTAGACATTCCACATTTCGTGAGGAAACAAAGGCTGTCTTCGTCCATTACCTCTTCTATTCATTCTTCCGACGTAGTTGTCTTCAAACCAGTCTAAAATTGGTTGCACGTCATCGGGTAAGTTTTCAGATAATGAAAACAAAGCATTATCTATGTCGTCAATTGGAACAAACGCCAAAGCTGTAACCATTTTTGCGTACAACGAAAAGTTTGGCTCATTGTTATAGCGATTTGTTAGGCCTAATTCGCATAACTTTTTTTTCATATTTTTCACCAAATGAAAAAAACAACCTMGAATTTCGGCAGAAGGAAATWTTTCTGAAACACTTTTAAAAGCAGCCATTTCATAGTCACAAGTTATAGACTTTGGATCGAGGTTTGGCAGTAATACTTTAATCATAACAAATAATTTGTCGTATGTTTCTCTACATTTATTAGGCAACAGTGCATAAAATAAAGGGTGAACGCCTTCAAATTTTTTTGTTAAAACAACATAAATTTGTTTGAATAAATTTGGCGCAATTTTAAATGTCCCGTCCATAAAAAAATCATCGCAGCTTAATGATATTTCCAAATTTCGTTGACGACCAAATATTAGGATTCTGTCTGCGCCCGGTCCACTGTCAGCTAGCAGAAAGTTTTCAGTTTTTCCGGGTTCTGATTCATACGTTTTATAACACTCAGGAATTTCGAGGTCTGCCAGATTTGTAGGATTTGATGGAGCTTGATGTATTTCATTACGTTTCCTTCTGATTAATTTCTTTAAAGCTTGTTGATTTGGAAGAGCTCCCTGACAAGCGACATCAGTATTTTGGGTACACTCATTTATTACTTGACACGTTGATTCTTGTGTTTCTAGAGCCCTTTTCTTAATTTTTGTAACGATTTTGTCCGCTGCTACTTTAGCTGCAGATGGTTCGTGACTATGCATATTTATAGTTTTTACGACTTCACGATTGACTAAATGCACACGCGCTTTACAATGTCGTTTTTTTTCACATCGCCAAAACTCAGTTTTTTCGTCTGCAGATAGTTTATCAAATACGTACAAAAATCCGTTTTCATA